TTTCTCTAATAACCCGGGCAACGCCGGGTCCCCAAGCTAGTCTATATAATAAAAGTCAAAGTTTGTATGCGACGGAGGTAGGACAGAGGGAGGACGTAGGGCAGAGGAGTTTGTGGCAGCTTTCTGATTGGCTGCCACTGTGGTGCTATTTGCATATGGTCTCTGATTGGCCAGCTTCAACAGGAGCCCCTGATGGAGAAAAGGGTTCATGACAGAAACGGGGACATGACAGAAGGAAATTTGCATAGGGTCTCTGATTGGCCAACCGCAATTCCAAGATTCCGAGATGACAAAGAGAGGAAAGGCCAGGGGCTCTGTCAGAAAATTACCAATACAGATGACACTTGGGACACAGAGCCCCCATGACCCACTCTACATTCTACTGCAGTTCGGAGGAGGATGGACCATAGATGATGGGACTTGCAGTACCATCACTCCCATTCTGAGACTGCTGTTAACCTCATCCAATGACTGAGCAGGACCAAACTTGGCACATAGACTTCTCATGACCCACTTTATGTCCTGGTGTTTTTTGGCTGGGGATGGACCATAGATTATGGGACTTGCAGTACCTTTGCTCAATTCCTGAGACCACTGCAACCCTCATCCAATTACCAATAAAGACCAAACTTGGCACACTGAGTCTCCTTTATGCACTCTACATCCTGGTGTGGTTTGGGGGAGGATGCACCATGGACGATGGGACTTACAATACCTGCACTCCCTTCCTGAGACCATTACAACTGCCAACAGTGATGGATCAGGATCACAATTTGCACAGAGAGCCTGCATGACCCACTCTACATCCTGGTGCAGTTTGGAAATTTTTTGAAATGGATGATGGGACTTGCAGTTACCTCACTCACTTCCTGAGACCACTGAGACCCTCGCCAATGACTGATCAAGACCAAACTTGGCACACAGAGTCCCCATGACCCACTCTACATCCTGGTGCACTTTCGAGGAGGACAGACAATGGATGATGGGACTTCAAGTACCTCCATTCCCTTCCCAAGACTGCTACAACCCTCATCTAATGTCCGATCAAGACCAAACTTGGCACACAGAGCCCCCGTGACCCACTCTACATGCCTATGCAGTTTGGAGGAGAGTTGACCATGGATGATGGGACTTGCAGTACCTTTACACACTTACTGAAACCACTGCGACCCTAATCCAATGACTGATAAATACTAAACTTGGCACACAGAGCCCCCATGACCCACTCTGCATCCTGCTGCAGTTTGAAGGAGGATGGACTTTGGATGATGGGACTTGCAGTACCTTCACTCACTTACTGAAACCACTGCCACCCTCATCCAATGACTGATAAAGACCACACTTGGCACACAGAGCCCCCATGACCCACTCTATATCCTGCTGCTGTTTGGAGGAGGGTTCACCATGAATGAGGGGACTTCAAGTACCTTCACTCACTTCCTGAAAACCATGCAACCGTCATCCAATGACCAATAAATACTACACTTGGCATAGAGAACCGCCATTACCCACTTTCTCTAATAACCCGGGCAGCGCCGGGTCCCCAAGCTAGTATGTATACACACACACACACACACACACACATGCAATATATTATATTGGGACTATCAATACGTTTGATTCTGTTTATGCTTGAAGTGAAAAGAATTTGTTTCAGGGTATTAACTCAGCAGTGCCAGGGTACAACTGCGTTATTACCATTTCCTGCTGTTTGGTGTGGACACTTTGCTAATATTAAATTTGATACAGATATGGCATCATTTCAAGATGTGCTTATTAGTTTATAACAGGACTCGGAAAACTTCGGTCCTCCAGGTGTTTTGGACTTGAACTCCCACAATTCCTAACAGCTTCAGACCACTTCCTTTTCCCTCTCAGCAGCATAAGCTCAGGCCTGGTGTAGAAGATGCAAGCGCTGGCCCACCTGCCATCAGTTCCTCTGCTTGGAGCATTACCTTTTTGGTTTATTTTAATTGAAACTCCCAGCATCCCCTGAAAAATTGGAGTGTCTTTATTTTCTGGTTGAGGCGTGCCTCTTTCTTCCCCTATTGCAGAGGGCACAGGGCCACCTGTTCATTTTTTAACAGGCAAGGGAAGGCTTGTGTCAACTGGGCACAATTCTTCCACTAACCTGGAAGCGGCATTGAATTTTACCCCTTGACTTACCCATGGGTTATTATCAAAATCCATAATTTGGGCCCCAAAACCTGCCCTGGACTTACACATGAAGTCGACTTGTACATGAGTGTGTATATGGAATTATGTTTATAAGTCTATATCGGAGTTTACACTGTGCAGGATCAAAATGTCTTCCCTGCTGTCTAGTTTGTTATGTGCTTTCCACAAGGAATGAGCCTTCAGTCATGTAGGCACCCATCTACTGAAGTGATACAGCACACCAGTAAGAACTAAGCATGACCACAGTGCAGAAGATACTACAGATCCAGTAAACTCTCCTGAATGCCAAATGAAGCAAGGAAGGACTTGTGTGAGTCCCATCAGGGGAGAAGGTGGGTTATAAATAAAGTCATATTATTACTATGATAAAGAGAAAAGCACGCAAAAGCAACTTTGAGTGTTGATTGAGAACAGCATATAACCACCTTATTCTTTCTCACTTAAACCAAAGACACATGAAAGATAGGATGCACATTTGGAGGCTATATATATATATAGAGAGAGAGAGAGAGAGAGAGAGAGAGAGGAGTTATATGGCCGTATTACATAATGCTGTAAGGTTGCACAAAACGAACACTCAATAATTGTATGGATATGGTGCAGTAAAATGCAACAGATAATAGGCTAAATATTGTTTTGTAACAAAGATAAATAGTAAATATTTCACGAAATTAGGAAGGAATATATAATAAACCTAACAGTTTCTCAGAGACAATATAAAATACTACAATAAAATGAAACACACAAGATGTTTTAACCTAAAGAACATCATATTAT